CCTGAAATGAAACCAAGAAAAGTCAATGTGATCATCTTTGCAAAAGACATAATTCATCAAGATTACCTTGGACTTGACCTCTGCCAACACATTTCTGCCTGTTTCCAGATTTCAGACCATATGAGACCTCCATGCGTCCCTCAAGGACCATCCTCAGACCACTGTGAGGGGATTGTCTCAGGGTCCTAGGTCATGTGGCAGCCTGTGCTCGAGTTGTGTGCAATATTCTGTGCACGTGAGCACTTCCTGCTTCACATTCAGGGCAAAACTGTCCAGGTACTTAGTGACAAACTTGGTGGTAATTTATGTGAGCAAGCAAGGGGGTGTGAGATCAGACAGCCTCTGTTGGGAAACAGGAAAGTTGTGCAGCTCTTGCATTGGAAGCTCAGTTGCTCTCAGGGTGTCTCACTTGCCAGAGGGACAAAATGACCTGGCAGATCTTCAGAGCAGATCCTTCAGTTCAGACCATTCTGACAAAGTTCCTCCTCTGCCTTGGTGGGTCCTGCGCTTATTGGCGGATTTTCTCACCTCAGAGGTTCACGGCAGCCCTCAGTTTGGCCACTTTCATGGCTCAAATCTGCCGTTCACTCAGTTAGCCTCGTCACTGGCCAGCATGGGGAAAGGAAGAAGAACAATCCCCGCAGACTCTGCTGATCCACCTAGTGGATCGGGGAGCAGGCCAGAGACCTTCCCCTCTGGTGGAACCCAGAGTCCAGTTCAACTCCTCCGGTATCAAGTAGGGAGTTGGGGGGGAATGGGGGGAATCCGGACCCGCCCTCTACTCCGGGTTCCAGCCCAGGGCCCTGTGGATTGCAGCTGTTTACAGTGGCTCCTGTAACAGCTGCGTGACAGCTACAACTCCCAGGGCTACTTCCCCATGGCCTCCTCCCAACACCTTCTTTATTCTCACCACAGGACCTCTCTCCTGATATCTGAGAATGCTTGTACTTCTCAGTCTTCCAGTAGTATGCGTTCTCACTCTCAGCTTCTTGCTCCGAGCTCCTTGCACGCACCACAAACTGAATTGAGCTCCTTTTTAAACCCAGGTGCCCTGATTAGCCTGCCTTAATTGATTCTAGCAGCTTCTTGATTGGCTGCAGGTGTTCTAATCAGCCTGTCTGCCTTAATTGTTTCCAGAAAGTTCCTGATTGTTCTGGAAACTTCCCTGTTACCTTACTCAGGGAAGAGGGACCTACTTAACCTGGGGCTAATATATCTGCCTTCTGTCACTCTCCTGTAGCCATCTGGCCCGACCCTGTCACACCGTGCACGGTCTCAACATAGATATTCTGTCTTGGATGTTCGGTAAAGGGGGGGTTTCTGTCAGTGAATCTATTTGTGACTTGGCGGAACAGTAAGTGTCCTTGGTTCTGTTCCAGGGTGGGTCAAAGCCCTAGATCAATAGCAGAGGCTATCTTCATTCCACGGGACAGAGATCTGCTGTATGCTTACATGCTAGTATCTCTGATTCTTAGGGTCATTCTCAAGTTCAAGAAAGATCATGGCAGAATGATCCTTGTAGCCCAGCCGGGCCGAGGCAGATGTGGTATTCAGACCTCTGCTAGCTCAGCAACCCTGGCCATTACTGTTAACTGTAGACCTCATACCCAGGGTCTTGGCCAGGGGCTGCACCTGAATCCCCAAGTGCTGGTCTTGCAGCATGATGCATCAGTGGTTCAATGCAGAGGAGGCACATTGCTCAGTAGCAATCCAGAAAGTTCTTCTTAATGGCCTAAAACCACCCACAGGAGCTACTTACCCAAGTAGCGGAAGTGTTCTCCATCTGGGCAGCTTCCCATAAAGGGTCCCTAGCTCAGACAAAGATTTAAACAGTTCTGGACTATCTCTTGCATCTTAAGGTGTCAGGTCTAACCATCAGCTCCATTAAGGTGCATCTGGCAGCCATCTCAGCAGCCCACCCTCACATAGATGGTAAGACTGTTTTCACTCTCCCTATCACGACCAGTTTCCTGAAAGGTCTCAGTAGATAGCTTCTGCCTGTCAGGGACTCAGCTCCTTCTTGAGATCTCAATTTAGTTTTGTGTGCTTTGATGGACCCTCCTTTCAAGCCTATAGCCTCATGCTCCCTGCCATACATGTCAGTGAAGATCGCTTTCCTCATGGCCATCACCTCCACCAGGAGCCATTTTTTCGAATGATCCAGGAAGGTGGGAGAACTGAATGCCCTGGTCACTGATCCATAGTACACAGTTTTCTACAAGGACAAGGTTCAGCTTAGGCCACACTCAAGTTTCTCTTGAAGGTGGAATCTGATTTCTACCTGAATCAGTCTATCTGCCTGCCAGTGTTCTTCCCAAAGCCACGTAAGCCCAAGGATAAGCGAAGGCTCCACACCCTAGTCATGCATCGAGCTCTGGCTCTTCACTTGGATAGGACAAAGCCCTTTGGAGTTTCTTCCCAGCGGTTTGTTCCTTACACAAAGCATACGGGAGGTCAACGAGTCACAACTTAACGATTCTTGACACCCTAACCCTGACCCTCTTGACAAGCTCACAGCACACTTAACCATGTTCAGACTTGGCAGCGTTTGTGGCTCACGTCCTGATTGTGGATGTCTGCAGGGTGGCAACATGGTCTTCCATCCCTACATTGACCAGACAGTATGCACTGTCTGCAGCATTGAAGGAAGATGCAAATGTAGGGAAAGCGGCTGTCTGGTCCCTCTTCCATGAGACTCTGAGCCCCACTGCCTGGAATAACAACTTGCGGGTCCCCTATAGTGTAATGGACGTATATAAGCACTCAAAAAAGAAAAACTGGTTCTCCGAGATGTGTTGCATATGTCCATTAGAAGACCCGCTCTCCTTCCCCAACACGTTGGACTCTGCCATCGGCTTCCAGTGCGAAAGAATGGAAAGAGGGTGGGAAGGCTCCACCCTTTATACCTTCGCTTCAGAGCACAAGGACCTTGCCTATGGGCAGGACTGCGAAAACCACGAGGGAAAACTCTCAGGCACTGTGCACAGGACACTCACGGTGTGATGGACGTACGCAACACATCTCAAAGAACAACAGTTACGAGACGGTAACACTTTTTTCTGGGATCCAGGGTTAGGTACCCAAAAGGCATTACAGCTGAAGATGTGGAGAGCAGCACTAGTATGGACATGGGGCAAAACTGCAATGGTTCAGAATGCAAATTGGCATAGCTAGTGGGAACACACTGTTTGTAGCTACACTGGTACAGTCTCACTGATTCAGTTCACTAGAACAGCGGCAGCCTCAGTCTTACATTATCCAGCACTTCCTTCCAGAAAGGCTATTCCTCTGGTTGGCATTACTTTTCTGGGTTACAAAATTGTCTGCCATGCAGTTTAGGAAGTTCTTGAGTCTGAATGTTGGGTTGTGATTGTTGTTCAGCAAAGCTCTCCCCCATGGCCAGTCTTGGTGCTCTGTAATAGATGACCAGAATCATTTTTTGTTGTTTTTCCATCCCTCCTTGTATCATTACACTGAGTTTCACCACCTGACCCTTTACTCCCAAGCAGCTCTCCCCGTGCACCTTTATCCTGCCCTGCAGGAGAGGCTGCTAATTTAAGTGGTGGGATGAGAAAAATGGGGGATTTCATGATAAGTGCTGTAGTCCGACGTAACCAGTATGCTGTACAGTATAGTATGGGTTTGACTGGAACATGCCAGGCACCACTGGATGTTGGCTAGAAAGGTGACAGAATAAAACTCAGCTGAATTCATCATCCATTTGATGATTAGCTGGGTGGTTTTGCTGTCTGAAAAGTTGGAAGTGGACTCTGCAGCTCATGAAAGACTGCCCTTTTATGCCTTTCTGGGAGACAGCTTGGGAATTGCAACCCTCATAATGCATGCTTTCCAGCAAATGTCAAAGTCTGAGCCATGAGAAGTAGTGGCCTATGGCATGGGGCCTTCTGTGGTCACAAGCAGCCTGGCACTGTCACAGGAAGGTGGGCAGGAGACCAATGGCTGGAGAGGAAGTCGGAAGGCAGCTGCTGTGATCAGGGCAGCAGGAATCCTTCAAAGGAAGCAAAATGGAATAAAAGGGGCTGTTTTGGTGGTAAAATATCCATCTTTTGTAGTAAAAAACAACCCAGCATGGTTTCAAAGCCTCCTCCGATAGTAAATCTCAGGTTCTACCAGTGAGGTAGGTGGCTGGCAGGGACGACCACCATTGCTGATATCTCTTGTTCAGAACAACCCCCATCCTGCTAATGGAGCACATGGCCTTTGTCTCGGTTACCTCCACGTGTTAGTCACACCACCTTGTTGCGGCTTTTCTTACTTTAGATTGTAAACTCTTTGGGGCAGGGACTGTCACTTATATGTATATACAGCATCTAGTGTGTTTTGGTTCTGATACTCTGCACTCTGCTGTACTGCAAATAATACATAACAGGTTTCCTTTACTAGGCAAATTCTCATTTTAATTCTCCCCTAAATGTGCCAAATTCCGATCCCCCTGTAGTAGACGATCTCTATTAGGCACCCATTTATGTTAGTGTGTGAGTGGTCGTTAAACAGATTTCACTTCAGTGAATCTTTTTTAACATTACAATGCCTTTGTAGGGGGAGAGGAATAACTCTGCTTCTACAGTTTGTGGTGTGAATTCTAAGTTGGTGAAACTTGCACTTTCTTCTGGCTCCTTCAACATGAATGAGACACCAATTTAGACTGTGTTAGACTTGCTTATTCACACTCGTATCCCCTTATCAACGACATGTAACTTACACCTCACCTCTGAATGTGGCACATGAGATCCCCTTGAGTTCAAGTATCTCACACCCTGAGGATCTAGACTTAGAGCACCAACTAGGAGGATATGGGAACATGTAAATTTCAGTGGGTTACCACTACTCCTAACCGACACTTACCGTCAGCTCCTCTGAGTGTAAATTGCACTTGTAGACTCCCTGACTTACTCCACCTTGCACATGAACTTCATTAAAGGTGAAAACTTGTTTGGAATGGTCTGACCTTTCTAATGCCTTCTTTCCTTTCTCCCCAGATAATCTTATCAAAGCCATCTTGTCAGCAACCAAAGAGTATCGCCTCACTCCAGCCCTTGACAGGTAAGACGAGACCCTTCTGAAGCAGAAGGAGCAAATAGTGACACTTCATCACATTTCCTACACACAGTCTCCCAGGAAGTGTCTGTGCTTTGGACATAGGTCAGGAGCTGCGAATAGAGTTCTCATTCCAGTGAATTCTGGAAGCTTTGTTAGCTCAAACATACAAAAGTACGTTTACGTTTTAACTGCTTCCTAATTGTTTGCTTCTAAAAGCACAAAAATAGCGTGCACCATTGCATAGCTACCTCCTCCTACAGCAGTGGACTGGCAACACAACCAAATCACGCAAAGGTATTCAAACAAAAGAGAAGGGGTGCAGCTTATTCTGACAAGAACAGTTCACTAATATCTCACCTGAAAGCTGGTGGTGTGACTGCAGTGGTTGAGATGGTGAAAAGATGGATGTAGGAACTTGCCTGGGGACTTGGAGGTTTGAGCTGGTATAATGCATATTTGTGTATTCAGAACACGCTCCTTCAGATTTTCTGGTCTTATCATAGACTTGTTCTGGAAAATCCTTGGCATGTTTATGATCAGCTGTCTGATTCTTTACCCTCTGCATTCTGACCCTTCCCTTCTTTTTTGACCTTCAGCCTTGAATCATAGAAGATTAGGGTTGGAAGAGACCTCAGGAGGTCATTTAGTCCAACCCCCTGCTCAAAGCAGGACCAACCCCAACTAAATCATCCCAGGCAAGGCTTTGTCAAGCTGGGCCTTAAAAACCTCTTAGGATGGAAATTCCACCACCTCCCAAGGTAACCCCATCCAGTGCTTCACCACCCTCCCAGTGAAATAGTTTTCCAACCTAGACCTCCCCCACTGCAACTTGAGAACATTGCTCCTTGTTCTGTCATCTGCCACCACTGAGAACAGCCGAGCTCCATCCTCTTTGGAACCCCCCTTCAGGTAGTTGAAGGCTGCTATCAAATCCCCCCTCACTCTTCTCTTCTGCAGACTAAATAAACCCAGTTCCCTCAGCCTCTCCTCGGAAGTCATGTGCCCCAGCCCCCTAATAATTTTTGTTGCCGTCTGCTGGACTCTCTCCAATTTTTCCACATCCTTTCTGTAGTGGGAGGCCCAAAACTGGATGCAATACTCCAGATGAGGCCTCACCAGTGCCGAATAGAGGGGAATAATCACTTCCCTCAATCTGCTGGCAGTGCTCCTACTTATTCAGCCCAATATGCCGTTAGCCTTCTTGGCAACAAGGGCGCACTGCTGACTCATATCCAGCTTCTCATCCACTGTAATCCCCAGGTCCTTTTCTGCAGAACTGCCGGTTAGCCAGTTGGTCCCTAGTCTGTAGCAGTGCATGGGATTCTTCCGTCCTAAGTGCAGGACTCTGCACTTATCCTTGTTGAACCTCATCAGATTTCTTTTGGCCCAATCTTCAAATTTGTCTAGTCATCCCAGACGCTATCCCTACTCTCCAGTGTATCTACATCTCCCCCACATCTCAGTGTCATCTGCGAACTTGCTGAGGGTGCAATCCATCCCATCATCCAGATCATTAATGCAGATGTTGAACAAAACCAGCCCTAGGATAGACCCCTGGGGCACTCTGCTTGATACCAGCTGCCAACTAGACATCGAGCTGTTGAGCCTGACAATCTAGCCCACTTTCTATCCACTGTGACGGGACAAGGCCAGATGGCTATAGAAAAGTAGTGGGAGATAGATATATTAGCTCCAGGCTAAACAAATCCCTGCTACCAGGATAAGTGAAATGGCAGCTGCTCCAGGTCAATTAAGACACCTGGGGCCAATTAAGAACTTTCCAGAAGGCAGGGAGAAGGCTAGGTTGATTGGGACACCTGAAGCCAATCAGGGGCTGGCTGAAACTAGTTAAAAGCCTCCCAGTCAGTCAGGTGGGTGTGCATGTCAGGAGCTGTGGGAGGAAGTTGCTCTGTTGGAGAGGCTGAGTAGTACACACCATATCAGGCATGAGGAAGGAGGCCCTGAGGTAAGGGTGAAGTGGAGCTTGAGGAAATGAGGGCTGCTGTGGGGGAAGTAGCCCAGGGAATTGTACATGTCATGTTTCTAAAAGGTCAGCTACCATAGCTGATACTATTAGGGTCCTTGGGCTGGAGCCCGGAGTAGAGGGTGGGCCCGGGCTCCCCCTCCCCCCCCACCTTTGCCCCCTGATTAATCACTGAGACCAGGAGACAACAGAGACTGTGCAAGGAAGGATAACTTCTCCTCACCTCCCTCGCTGGCTTATGATGAAAATGACTCAGTAGACTGTGACCCTTGTCTCTAGAAAGAGAAGGGTTTTGTGAAGGGTCACAGTGAGCCTCTGAGGCTAACGAAATCCGCCAGGAAACACGGGACCCGTGGAGGCAAGGACAGAGCTTTGTCACACCACCCTTATAGTCCATTCATCCAATCCATACTTTTTTAACTTGCTGGCAAGAATACTGTGGGAGACCATATCAAAAGCTTTGCTAAAGTCAAGATATATCACATCCACCGCTTTCCCCGTATACACAGAGCCAGTTATCTCATCATAGAAGGCAATCAGGTTGGTCAGGTGTGACTTGTCCTTTGATTAACTCCCTCACTAAGTGTCAATTTCTGGACCTGGGGTAATTTTTTTCAGAAGCTCTTAGGTGACTTAGGAGCTTTTGAAAAATGTTAGCCCTGTTCTTTACTGAACATTCTCCTGCTTTGATCTCACACTAATAAGGCTCTTGCTTTCTGACCAATTCATTTTTTGCCTCCTGACCCCTTCTGAGCTTCCAATCAGACTTTCCATGATCACCAAACTCATCAGCATTCCTGACATCTCTGCAGCTGCCAGCTGCGTCCCCATTCTCCTCTGCTCCCTTGCTTCCAGAGCAGTAGCTCCGCTGTAGTTAAGGTGGGGAATTGCTTACTGTTTAAAATATGGCTAGTCTAGGTGCTCTAAAATGCACATCTGGGTCCAAAATCTGCTGACTCATCTTATGCTGAAATTTCCTGTGCCTCATGGGAGTGTGGGGTGGGCAGGCTTAGCGGTCCAAATTTGGGGTTATTTGAGAAAGAGGCTCTTGAGATACAGCCGCCTTTTTAAAAATCATGTGTTTAGAAAATTACCTGGCTCTTAACGGGGGTTTTGGCTCACACGTGGGGCTCATACAGTTGCTCTGATCCTCCCCAAACTGATCTCACCCACTCAGAAATTCTCTCGGGTAGTGCACAGCTTGCACTGCTCCTTTGGGGAAGCGATATTTCCAAAGGTGTTGGGGGTGAAGTTTGTAATTCCAGCTCAGTTTGAGCTGAACTGACACACTAAAGACGGTGAAGTGCACATGTGCCACAAGACTGATGCTCTTTTGCAGGTCAGAGGCTTTGCAGGCAGACTTATGTCACAGTAATTGGGTGTCTCGAGGTGACATGCTGTGGCCCTTTAACCTGAGCAGCATCTATGGCCTGTGATTTTGAGTCCTAACCATAGCAGTTTGTTGAGAATGTTGTGCGTGTTATGTCATGTCTCTGCCTGCGTTCATTAGAAGGAAGTGCGCCCTTGTTTAGGAAGTTTTTCCCTGAGACCAAAACTTCTGGTTTAAGAGCCAATATTTCAGAGTTCTCTAAAATCCACCTGCAGACTCTGATTCTACTGTAGATGTGCTGTCAAGGAAATTAGCCTTAATTTAACAGAGAAGAGAAAAGACTCTAGTAAGCAGTTAGGGTAATATAATAGCAACTCATGTTCCTCACCTGTTTCTTGAACAATGTGACTGAATGGGATCAAAGGAAGTTGATCCCATCAAGGGAAGTTCTAGAGAGCTGGAGAAGCTATTGTTGCACCATTATTTTAAAAGGGAAAATGAGATGACATGAATTATTATAGACTGATGAGCTTGACATCAGTCCTGGGCAAAATCATGGAAAGGTTAATATGGAATAGAATCAGTAAAAAGATGGTATCTTAACAAGTGCAGATTAACATGGGTTTTATGGAAAATGAATCTGGTCAAGTAAATTTGGTATTTTTTATGAGATTACAAGTTTGATTGATTGATAAAGGTAAATCTGTTGTGTCGTTAGACATCTGTAAGGCATTTGACTTAGTCCAAATGACATCCTGCTCTAAAAAAAGTGTCACTATACAAGATCAATGTAGCCCATATTATATGGATTAAAAGCTAATTAAATGAGAGATTTCAAAAATTAATTATAAATGGGAAATCATTATCTAGTGGGTGTGTTTATAGTGTGTTCCGGCAGGGATCTGTTCTCGGCCCAATGTTGTTCAACATTTTCATCAGTGATATGGAAGAAAATAGAAAATCAATGCTGGTAGAACTTGCAGATAACACACAAATTGGTGGAGTGGTAAATAATGATGTGGACAGGTCAGTTATAAAGACTGCTCCAGATTGCTTGTAAATGGGACTCATTTGAGCAACATGCATTTTAACAGAGCCAAATGGAAGATGAGATATCTAGGAGCAAAGAACATGGGTCACACTGATAAGATGAGAGATGGTCTCCTGAAAGTCAGTGACACTGAAAAGGACTTGGGGTTGATGGTAGATAACCAGTTGAACATGAGCTCCCAGTGTGATGGTGTAGCTAAAAGAACAAATGTGATTCTGGGATGCCTAAGCAGGAGGATATTGAGTAGTAGACAGGTGGCATTACCCCTCACGTGGCACCAGTGAGACTGTTACTGGTTTCAGCACTTCAAAAAAGATGTTGAGAAATGGAATGAGTTCAGAAAAGAGCTATACGAATGATTCAAGGTATGGAAAATCTGCCTGAGAGTGAGACACTTGAGGAGCTTAATGTCCTTGGTTTATCCAAGAGAAGGTTAAGAGGTGACTTGATCGTGATCGAAAAGACATCTTTTAAAAATTGGCAGCCAGATCCTACTGAGGCAAACAGAAGGGAGCATAAATCCTGGCAAGTCAAATGCAAAAGTAGAATCAGGCCGGCCCCAAAAGAATTTGAAGAGCAACTAGCAAAAGACACAGAAACTAACAGCAATTTTTTAAACAAATATAATATTGCATGCA